TATTATTTCTATTATTTCTATTATTTCTATTATTTCTATTATTTCTATTATTTCTATTACTTTTACTCTAGTTTTTATAATCTCTATTAGTTGTATAATATTAATTATCTCAGTAAGCTTTATTTTTTATCTTAGTTATATTTATTGTTATATCTATATTTATATCTACTGATATTAGGTAAGTTTATCAAAAATAATTATAATATCAATATTGACTAGAGAATTCTTTTATAAAATATAAATTACATATTTTAATTATTACCTCTATTGTGAGAAAAGATTACTAACTAAAAAAAGAAATTAATTAATCAAATTTTGATACAAAATACTTATACTGGATCATTAATTATATAATATAAAAATTATTATTCTTATAATATACACTATCATTTATCTTTGATATTAGTAGGTTTTCCTATTGAAAGATTACTAATAAAAAAGTAATAAAATATATAATAATTAAAATAAATATTTATTAAAGATGAAGCTTTTATTTATTTCTTTACTTCTAGAATAAATAATTCAAATAGAAGATGAAATTCAATTTATTTTAGAAAAGGTACTATCTTTTTAATGTATTTTAAAATATTTCTAATAAAACTAGTACTTCTATCTACTTTATATTTTGTTTTATTATTATTATATTATATTTTACCATTAATCTTGATTCTATAATTTAATCCTTATTATTACGGCTGATTCTACTGCTAGTATAAATAATATAAGAATATATAATTTAATAATTGTTTTTTTTTAAATATAGATATATAATTTTTTACATTGATTTTTTATATTATATTTTCTCTATATTTTCCAAAATAAAAATAATTTAAGATAAGAAGACTATCTGTAATATTTTACAAACCTATTTAAATAATTTAATGATTTTATTATGGTTGGCCTATTCGAGATGAAGTTATTTAATAAAAATATAAATAGATGATATTTATTCTAGAAGAGTTTCTAAAACAGTATTCTTAGTTAAGTATTTTACTAAAAATAGTAAAGAATAGTAGAAAGTTCAGTGTTTGTAAAGATTATTATATTTACTAGTTGCTTAACAATAATATTTATATTAAATATAATAGAGTAATTATATATATCATTAGACTATCTAGGGTATAATTATAAATATAATAAAAAAGTAATGAAAATATATAAACAGGGTTTTTTATAATTAGCATTAAGTTATAATTTATAAAATATAAAATATAAGAAGAAAAGATAATAATCTAGAAGATATGAAAATAACAGAAAAAAATATTATAATAAAATAAAATAACATTATTAATTCTCCAGGTATAAATATTTGTATATTCATTTATTAATTTATTTTATAATATATTAGTAGTAGTAATCTACTAATTATTTTCTAATATTATAATTAATTTAATGAATAAGATATTATAAAATAAATATTAATAGCAGCTCATACTATTACTTATCACCATCTTTAAGTATAATGTTGATTAACCAAGTATTTATTTATTTAATTATACCTTTATTATTTTCTTATTTGACTTATTTATTTTTATAATTATTTATTTATTCTTATATATATTTATATATCAAATAGACTTATACTTTATTATTATTAGTATATCTACTGTTAATCTTGGGATCCTTAGAAATTATATTAAATAGAATATATGGATATATTTATTTTTATACTAGAATAGTTTTATATAGCTAAAAACTAGTTAATTTATTCTAAACTTTCCTATCTCTATAATAGCTGACAGAAAAAGAATTAAAATAAATTATTAATTTATTATATTTCATAGTATATCCCAACTTACTGCTTTTTAAAAATCTGAATAAAACTATAATATAGGAAATAATACTTTAATCTATTATATTCAAAATATAAAGTCTTATTAAAGCTAATAAAGCTAATGAATAAATAAAAAAATATAATATATATTTTTAACTTAATTTCTACTATTTCTAAGAATAAGATTGTAATTCTAATATTACAATTATTATATACAGGGACTAGAAGACGACTTTATACTTTTATAAAATATTTAAAATATATAATATATAGATAAAGCCGGATAATTCTAATATAAATACTATTAATATTCCTAAGAAATATTATATATAGATTTTATGAAAAAAAGATTAGGAAAAATAAATTTTTAAATTAGATATTTACTAGCTTCTAAAACATAATTAGTAAATAATAAAACTCTTAATTAATTATAAAAATAAGATAAATTTTTCCATATATAAATATATAAACTGCTTATATGTATATATTATCTAGACATATATATTCAACTTTAATATTTTAAGTAAATTATCTAAATTGAAAAAATATAATTATTAATTTATATAATCCTGATTATAAAAGTAAGCCTAATCTCTTATTTTATTTTATTATGGAAACTAATTCTTCTTTATTTATTAATTATATTTATATTATAGTAATAAATAGTTACATACTCTGTTGTTAATAATATCTTTACTATAGCTACTATAATTATCTTATTACGATATATTAAGAATAAGAGTATTTTTATATTATTATTATAAAATATATTAATTCAGTTCTATATATATCATAACAGATAAATCGAATCCTGGCGGAATTTTATATATTTTATAAGTAATAGGTAGTAGTATTAGCTATTGTTAATAAGCCTATATATATATTTATAATCTGGTTATTACTTCCAAATCATTAGATAAATATATATTGAATATCTATAATCGGTATTGAGATACTTAAAAGAAAGAAATATTAAGTTAAGATTGTATAAAACTTTTATAATATTCTCAGCTATAAAAATAATTAATTATATTAATAACCTAGATTTAACTATTTTTAAAACTAAGCTTACAGCCCTGTAAAAACTAGAATTTCGAAATATTTTTATAATATTAAAATAGTATTTATACCTAACTAGTTATCTATATTATTAAATTATATAATATATATAATATATTATACCTCTCTAAAACAGAAAATTATATTATGAAAAAAGCTTCTCTTAATAAAAGATTATATTTATTAATATTATATAAATATCACTATATTATTTCATTGTTTAATAAATTTAAGAATTATTTTTATATGAGATATATAACTAACCCCTGTATATCAAACTACTTATTATTTTTAACAAATATCAAAATAAAGTATAAGAATTAATAAATTAATAAAATAAGAAAAATGAAATAAATAAGCAGATAGAATATCAGCTACTTGATATTATATCTAAAAATAATAATAAGCAGCAGTATTAGCTGTTATTAACAATATATTAATTTTATTTTATATATATAATAATAAATAAATCTAATTTTTATAGAACTTTATAAATTTACTTATATATATTTTTAATAATTTAGTTATTATATTTAAATTAGTAAATAAGTATATTTTATCTATATTTAGTATTTAAATATTTATAAAATAGAAATATTAAGTTTATATACTATAAAATATTTATAATATTTTTATTTATTTTATTATGTAATTAATATATTTATAGCCTAGGTTTTGATATTTTTATAATAA